AAAACACCACATAACATGGATGAACTTAGAGGACATTATGCTAAGTGAAATAAGTCAATCACAGAAGGACAAATACAGTATTAGTTCATTATTGTAAAAAGTCAAGGAAAGGTTTATATACGGAAGGAAAGTTTCTTTGTTGGTTACCAGAGGTAGGGGGGACACTGAAAAAAAAATCGACCCATGTCACCTTAGTTTTGTGTATTTCACTGTACATAAATCATATTTCAATAAAATGTATTTAAAAAAAAAAAAAGACTAAGGTGTGCTAACAAAAACTCACTGGCATTGAATTGGAAGACTCCTAGTGACCCTCCTTGGGTTTCCAAGATGGTATCACTATGGATGTAGATTGCTCCAAGGAGTGGCTAGTGGGTTTGAACCGCCAGCCTTCTGGTTAGCAGTCAAATGCCTTAGGCACTACACCACCAGAGCACCTAACAAAAGCTATGGTATTTTCAATCACTTTCTATGCATGTGAAAGCGGGAAGACCCAAGAAGAGTTGATGCCTTTGAATTGTGGTGTTAGCAAAGAATACTGAAAACGCCTTGGACTGCCAGGAGAATAAACAAATCTGTCCTGGAAGAAATGCAGATGGAATGATCCTTGGAAGCAAGAAAGGCTAGACTTCGTCTGACCTACTTTGGTCATGTTGTTAAAAGGGACCATTCCCTGGAGAAGGATGTCATGCTTGGTAAAGTGAAGGGTCAGCAAAAAAGGGGAAGACCCTACACAAGATGGACTGACACAGTGGCTGCAACGATGGGCTCAAGGACAGCAAGGATTGGGAGGATGGGGCACAACCAGGCAGTGTCTCGCGCTGTTGTACACAGGGTCGCTGGGTGTCAGAGCTGACACAACAGCACCTAACAACAACAACAAGTGAATACACAGACACTCAAATTGAACAGGGGTTGGAAGGCTAATGGGACTATACACATGAATATATATAAGTCTGACAGGATATTTCTACATACATGCTGCAAATATATCCATGAATACAGTAAAACATACAGAAGGCAAAATTATGAAAGCCTCTTATGCATAATCAAACACCTTAAGGGAATGAGTCTTTAGGCCTGAGGGCTCAGAAATACAGTCTTGGGGGATATCAGGGTCAACTGGTATAACAGTCCACAAAGATAATGTTCTACATAATACTTTGGTAACAACTGGGGTTTAACAACTGGGGTCTTAAAAGCTTACGAGTGGCCATCCAAAGTGCAACTATTGGTCTGTCCTCATCTGAAGCAAAGAAGAGTGAAGAAAAATCAAAGACACACAGAAACAATCATCCAAAGGACTAATGGACCATTTGACCCTCAGCCTCCACTACCCTGAGACCCAAAGAACTAGATTGTGCCCAGCCACCACCGTCAAACACTTGGAAAGGGATCTGAATAGAGGATCCTGGATAGAGTGGGAGAAAAATGTGGAACAAAATTCAAAATCATAAAAACTACCAGGCTTACGGGCCTGATAGGGACTGGTGGAGCCCTCAAGACTATGGTCCTTAGCAACCCTTCAAGCCCAGAACTGAACCCATCCCTGTGATTCAATTTTCAGGCAAAAAATAGACAAGCCTTTAAGGTAAACAATAAAAACAAACAAAAAATTAGAACAATCAACCATGCAAGATCCAAAGGGCAGCATTTTCCCAGGGATAAAACACAGAAGGCAGGAAGGGATAGGAAAGAAGGATAAATAGAAACAGTAAAAACGGAGGAAGTGGGAAGAGTGCTGTTACACTGTGGGGATCGCAATCAGTGTCAGAAACAAAATGCGTAGGAACTGTCGAATGGAAACCGAATTTGCTCTGTAAACTTTCACCCAAATAACAAAACATTTTTAAAAAGGTGGTGGGTGTGGGGAAGGCTAAAGAGCTTGAAAAGATAGTTCTCCAAAGAAGACAGACAAATGGCTTATGAGCTATGAAGAATGTTCAACATCATTCGCCATTAGGGAAACGCAAATCAACCTACAATGAGATACTACCTTATACCCACTAGGATGGCTGTTATCAGAAAGTAGCAAGTGTTGCCGAGGATGCAGAGAAATTGGAACTCTTGTACATTGTTATAAAACAGCGCACCTGCTGTACAAAAAGTTAAACATGGAACTACCATCTGGCCAAGCAATTCTACTCCTATGTATACACCAAAAGAACTGAAAACAGAAATTCAGACACCTGCATGCCAATGTTCATGGCAACATTTTTTTTTTTTTTTACAATAGCTGAAAGGTAGAAATAACGCAAGTGTTCATGAATAGATGTATGGAAAAACAAAACATGATATATGCATATAATGGAATATTACTCAGCTATAAAAATGGATACAATTCTGATACATGCTACAGTGATGGACCTTGAAAACATCTTGCTCAGTAACCATGCATATTCACAGAGACAGAAAGTGAAACAGTGGCTACCAGGGCTTGGGGACAGAAGGAACGGGGAATCCCTGCTTAGTGAGTACAGCGCTTCTGCTTGGGATGATGGGGATGTTTGGGAAATAGATAGTGATGATGTTTATACAACATGGTGAATGCATTTAATACCACTGAATTGTATACCTAAAAACAGTTAAAATGGTCAATTTTATGTTGTATATATTTTACCACAATTTAAAAAAATGGGAAAAAGAAATCTAAGATATTTTGGTAGAAATTACAAGCTGATTATAACATTTTTTATGGAAATGCAAAGGGCCAATAATAGCCAAAACAATCCTGAATAAAGTTGGAAGACTAAACTACCAGATACCATGACTTATTATAAAGGTATAAGAGTTAAGGCACTAAGGCACTTACAGGAGTTCTGGTGGCATAGTGCCTAAGGCATTTGATGGCTAACCAGAAGGCTGGAGGTTCAAACCTCCCAGCCCAAGGAGGAGTCACTATGACTCAAAATTGACTGAAAGGCAATGAGTAAGGCACTCACTGAAGGACAGATTTTATCAGTTCCAGTTGGGAGTCACAACCACATTAGTGTCTATCTTGGCGTGAGCATGAGCTTGAGTATCTCAGTCTCCATGCTTTACCCTGGAACATCAGCAGCCTGCGAGAGTCTCTGTGAGGGTCTCACTACTGCGTCCCTGACATCACCTGCTCAGGGCCTGGCTCAGAATGGGCACCAGGGAATTCTCGCTAAATGAACATCTGAACAGACCACTTAAGAGATTCCTTCCTGTACAGACTGACTGTGAAGGCTCATTGGCTGGGAGGCAGAGCCTAATTATCTGTTGGAGAGTGAACCCCTGGCCCAGACGGGCACAGAAAGAAAAGCCTGGGTGAAGGCCCAAGCCAGGGCTGGTGCCATGGTCCTATCACCTGTAGATGGAGGCCAAGGGGCAGGTGAGCCACATGTTGTTGGTCAATTTGCCTGGCTGGTAAACGTCAAAGACGAAGTAAGGCTGGTTGATTTCCTTGACTGAGCTGCAGGGTACAAAGCAGGCTTCCACCTGTAGTTCAGGCTGAATGCGGCTGGATTGAATCTTCTCAGCTCTCAGATAGAGCCTGCAAGGCATGGGTTTTTCCAGGGGCTCCTCGATGTAGCAGTACCCCAGGCGTTTGTGCTCACCTGGCTCCCCGCAGCGGTTACAGTCCTGCCAGGACTCCCAGTGGGTGAAGATGAGTACCCTGCCATCCAGGTTCAGGGTCTTATTCTGTAAGGGCTTTTGGCCCAGGTCTTTATGTGTAATATGAAGGGCAGTGACATCCTGGAAGTCAATCTCATACTCAACGACGAGAGTACTGTCACTGTCCTGGCAGCTATAGAGGCCCGTCTGGGAGGGCTGTGGGTCAGTCAGTTTCAGGCTGCCCCCAGGTAGTTTCATTATGTTGGGCATTGAGGAGAGTAGAAGGGCATCCTCCCCAAGAATGGAAGAGAAGTACCAGAGTGCCCTGGGGTGGTCACACTTCAGGACAACATCATTGCCCGAGAGCAGAGCCAGCTGGCACAAACTCTTGTAGGCACAGCTGATTAACATATAGGCCCCTAAAGTAGGAAGGGAGAGGATAAGCAGGCAGAGGATGGCCAGCATGGCGCACGGTGCCACAGCAGGAGCAAAGGAACCACCCTGGGCATTATGAAGTCATCCACAGAACTCAGGCCTCAGCCCTGGGCAGTGGAATGAACGCTTGTCCACAGCACTTCCAGGAGTGCACCTCCATCCATGTGATCATGTAGCCTGATGTAGGCTGCAGGATCAAAAACTCTATCCACAGGAGCTGGGGAAAAAAAAAAAAAATGATTCACTCTAGTTCAACAAGTGAACCAAAGAGCCAAGATATTTGTCCTCCACATACCAATTATACAATGGTAGAAAGAGACAAAATGGCTTCATGCCCTCCAGAAAGTTGGAAGAAGGGGAGACACACAGCAATCACGGATCTGCACCATTTCTAAAATCCTGGGGGCAGACACGAAGAGCCACCTACCTTGCAGTTGGGGAAAAAGTTCCTTAATTAGCTTCAAATCTTCTTTGCGTGATATGGAAGGGCACCCTCCAAACCTTTTTTCTCTATGGCACTTGGCTCCACTTTCCAGAGAGATCTCTCCTTTTCAAAACATCATCCTCCTTGGCCACATCTGAAGTGGGATTGAAAGATATGCCCTCTTTGGCACTTTAGCAGTTTGCTCAGTATCTTTCCTGAAGTTTGGAACCTAGGATTCTTATAAAGCTCCAGTCAACCCCACATGCAAAACAGCATCCACAGTTATTTACATTCAAGATCTCTCCCTAACTAGCTAGCAAGCTGCCATCTAGATGCAACGATGGGTCTCTCCTTGTCCAGAGCAAAGAAGAATGAAGAAAAACAAAATTCATGGAAACAATTAGTCCTAGCGACTGGTACACCATCCGATCTGCAGCCTATATGACTATGAGACCAGAAGAACTAGATGGTGCCCGGCTAC